AATTAGTCATAAGAAGCCCTTCTTTGCACCCCCCCACCCCCGTACTAATGCTCCCAGATTCTCTTTCATCTCTACGCCCACTCCTAACGCTTTTCCTCTCTCCAAGGCTGAGACACCAGAAAAAGGCTTAATTTCTGGGGCCTATGCTGCCAAAACAATTCTAAAAAATGTACTCAAGCAGTTGGCCTTCCTGGTTCCTTCCCTTCCTGACTCCCACTCACTACCCCAGTGACGCCTGCGTGGGTGGTGGCGATGCTCTGATACGTTCCTCCACCCACCCCAGCCCTGGCTGCAAAGCTTCTAAAGGGAATGTATCCAAGGGTGCGGCTGTGCTGTGGCAGCAGCCTTGGTGGTCAGGGGGCGCTGGCCAGCAGTTTTCCACACTGTGCTGCAGCTGCCAAGCCCATCCATCCCTACCCCAGTTTTCCTCTAATGCTGTCCAAGTGATTCAGAAGCTCTCCATCTGCTGACCACAGGAGCTGCCAATGTCGGGGAGACAGCCTGCTCTTTGCCCCATTTAGGGAGAGAATTCCTCGGGTTGATGGGCAGGTGGAAAAAGTGGAGGAAGGGCTCTTCTCCCTTGTGTCACACACTCCCCTTCAAGGCCAGAGAACGTGGCCCAACCTTAATGTTCTTTCAGTACCTCTGCCTGGTTTGCAATAATATCTGCACATGTCCCATTGCATGGGGTGCAAGGAAGATTCTCCCTCTATTCCACCCAGCACAAAATAATGCCCATGATGCAGCCTCTATCTGGATGACCCAACACAACTTGCTGGGAAAATAGCCTTTAGACAGACAGGCTGGGGTTGACAGACAGCTTACATTCTGAGTCCCCACTCTTGAAATAGCCAATGAGTTTGATCTGGTCCTCAATGCGCTCAAAGGCTTGGACTTCCAGTTTGCTGTTGATGATCTCCACTGGATCTTCAATTAGCTGGAACACAAAAGATGTTCAAATAAGAGAAGTGTTTCCTCTCCAGTGGGGAAATCCAGCATCTGAGTAGAGTGCTCCGGAGAGAAACTGTCAACATTCTGCTGGTGTCTCAGTATCCATCCCGCCTCCCCCTTCGTGAGCACAGCAGACATGCTTTCTGAGGAACTGACCTTACCTCCAGGGGTAGGCTGATTGGCCTGGAGGCAATTCTACTTCTCTTGTCAGTTACTGATTCAGGAAAGCCATGCAACCCAGCTCTGGCCAACAGATCTCCAGGGCAGATCAGCTGAAGGCCTTGAGGAAGTTCTACTTCCCTTTTATGAGAGCAGTGTGAGGCCAGATTCTTCCCCCCTCTCATTGGATATGAATGAAGATATGTGATGTATCAGCTTCTGTTGCTGGCTAGCTTATAAGTTGGTTATAACCGACTTGAGAACAGTCAGCTTGAGGACAAAGCCAACACACTGAAAAGAGCATTACCTGTGATTTATGGAGAAACTTGGAGCTAGAGCCCTGACTTGAACAAGCCTAAAATCTGCCCTCATCCTGGGCATCACCTTCCATTTGTGTGGGCCAATCACGTTGCCTACTGTTTAAGGAGGCTGAAGCTGGTTTCTGTTACTTGCATCCCAAAGCCCCCTCCCAGCTGACAGAGCCGGGGCAGGGCCACGTGGGCCCAGAGTTGTTCTGACTTTTTGAGCGCTTGTAGGTATGGGTCAAAGAGAGTGCCAAGCAGAGGTGATGGGCACTTTTTTGTAGAAGGTGACCTTCAACTTACTTCTGACCCTCTCTGGGTTTTTGAGGCAGTGGGGAAAAGGCAATGGGCCACTATGTACTAGCTGGTTAGATAAGGCATCACCAGAATGGTTGTTCTTTATTGTACAGGCATCTGTATTCAAAAGAACCTGACTTTGCCACTGTTATTGAAAGCGTGAGTTTACCTATGGATAAAACATCTTTGTAATGTTTATTCCTCTGTTTGCCTGAGCACATGGATCTAAGGGTGTTGCACCTCCGTGGCTGAGAGGAGTGTGATGTTGGGGCGCTCACTGGCCCTGCCTCTTTTTATTCTGCTCTGAGGGTAACTCAGCAGATGGGTCCTCCTCACCCTGCTCCATCGTCCCATGATCATCCCCCTCTCTTTCCCACACTCCTCTTCAGAAGCCCTGAAACAAAGCCCAGGGGATTCAGGGGATGTGTGTGTGTAATTGTTAAGAGAATTAACGTCACTACTACACAGCCTTAATCTGCTCTGGTCTCTAATAAAACAGTTTCTGAGGTCACTTGAGGGCCAGCTTCCCAGTAGATGTAAACATCGCTGTGATGTAGGCATTCTTTATGTTTTCATGACGCTTGAGAAACCGTTCTTAGACCAGGTCAGGGTATCCGCTTTCTCTGCTCTTGCTTTAGGGTTTACTTTCCCCTGCATTTGAACCCATGCGGGGCCACTGTGCATAAATACTTACATCCAACAGAAACTCCACCAAGACATCAGCTGCAAACTCGCCGTCAAACTCAATGGTGCGATCACCCTTAAGGACATACAGGCTTCCTTCTTCATTAAAACCTACAAGAAACACAGATTTCCCAAAGTAAAGTCATCCTGAGGTAGGTAGAGCCATCCCATTAGCCAGGGTCTGGCTTGGGGTCCCTGGGTGACAGTGGGGCAGGATCAGTGGAACTAGCGTTAACCCTAGGGTCAGTTCCCTTGAAACCACACCTCTGAACGGCTCCCAGAGTGGGAACTCAAACTGAAACAGTCAATAACCAGCAATGCCATCTGGATGTTAACTTAAAAGAAAGATCTATTCTCCACTTCACCACGGCTTTAATTTTCCAAATACACTGCGGACCCCTTTCTCCTTATCAAAAAGTTCTCGTGCCTACTGCCCACCAGCTCCTTAGCCTGGCATTCAACCCTCCACAACCTACTGCCAGCTCTGTCCTTTACAGCCCCCCTTGCGTGGACCTGCGCTCCCTTGAGAACTGCATTCCTGGTCCCAGTGCAATCCCTGGGCTTTTTGCCCAAGAGCTGATGTGAAAGGGGGCATAAAGGAGAAGTCACAGTGCATGATTCTCTGCACAGATGCTCTCCTTGGGCCTGTAGTGCCCTCCACCCCACCCCTCATCTTTCAACTCCTTTAGGTCTCGGCTTACAACCCACTTTTCCAAAGAAGGCCACTCCAATCTCTCTTGCCATTATGGACCTCCTCTCAGCTCTATTTTCACAAATGCTTTCCTGAGAGTGGCATTTCCCCCCAGGAATGCTAAATTAGCTGAGGCTGGCATTTAGTCCAACAGCATGGCATTCTTAATTCCTTAGATTAATTGTTGTCAAACCTCTATTAGCTGGAGGATGCTTTCTCCAAATGAACTCTTCTGCAGGACCTCTGGGGAAAGGGAGGCTGGCCCCGTACCCGCCGTGACCCAGGGCACCTGTGAAGACTCTCTGGCACGCCACGGAGCACCGTTTGTGAATCTAAAGGAGCAACGTGCCAGGTGTCCCAGAAGCCGGCAGTGACTGATCACAGAGGGTGCTGGAGGGATCCTCGGCCAGTGGATGTGGCTCTGAGTGAAATCGGTTAGGAAGCTGTTGCACTAGCTCAGAGACCAAAATAAGGCAAATGGAAATGGGGATGGAGATCAAGGAGGAGGCTCACAAAACACAACTGTCCTGTCTGCTCTGAGGATGGAAAGGTCGGAAAGAACCTGCCCAGTTTCCTCCAGGCTGAGCTCAGATAAAGGTTCATTTAGACCTTTAAAGCCTCATCACACCGTCCACTGAGAATATCCAGCAGTCCATTCATACGCATATTTGTCCAGCTTGTCCTGTATAAATTTTTAGATTGCTGGGACATTAGCATTTTCCTCTAAATAAATTTACTGGAAATTCTCCCAATTCAACTTTTCATCAAGACAGTGGGAAGGGAGAAGACTAGGGAATCAAGAGGCTACTGGACAGAACTCATTAACTTGCTTTGGATGAAGGAAAGAGTTGAACATACTTTGTTCGTCTGCTCACGGGGAAAAAAATGGTTTCTTAATTTGTCTCCAGGGAAAGAGCTACCCCAGACTTTCTTACAATAATTCATTATCGGATATACCCATAATCTTTAATGTAATAAATATGTTGTTTACATTGACACACACACATCAGTAGAAACATACTAACTGATAAAAGACCAGAAGCTTTTAAACAATAATAATTCATTATCATTTTATAGTCATGAGTTTTTTCTTGTGTGTAACCTAAATCCTGTCTCCTACAATTGAAATATTTTAAAAAAGCTAGTCTAGAAAATAAAATAGAAAACAGTTGTTTGGGGAAAAAATGATACAAATTCTATTTACAAACCAAAACCAGACTCATGGACATAGGAAACAAACTATAGTTACTAAAGGGGAAAGGGCGGGGAGGGATAAATTAGGGGTTGGGGATTAACAGACACACATTACTATACATAAAATAGATACACAACCAGGACCTACTGTGTAACACAGGGAACTATATTCGATTTCTTGTAATAATATATAGTGGAAAAGAATCTGAAAAGAAAATATATATGTATGTATATGTGTAACTGAATCACTTTGCTGTGCACCTGAAACTAACATTGTAAATCAACTACACTTCAATAAATTTTTTTTAAAAAAAGAAATAAATGTCTGAGAGATATTCTATAGCAAAATAATTCAAAACTTTCATCTGAATATCATTCATGGAAAGGTAGTAACTAGTATATGTAATTCAACTTTAAGATAATGGGAAAAAAAAGAAAACATATGTTTGAAATAGTCTAAGATAATGAAATTTCATGTACCTAAAGGTATTTATTGGATGACCACTGGTCTTTTTTATCCTGTGCTTACTACTCCAAATCCAATTAACCTTTCTTCAAAGGTCTTGTTTTATAACCCCCTGCTATCTTTCAACAGCCATTCTTCACTGGTGATGCAGAAAAAGTGAAATGGGCAGTGCAGGTGTAGGAGTGTTTGAAAACCAGAGGAGTTACCTATATTCTCTCTCCTGGGGATTCGAGGTACAAGAATCTTAAAGGGCACTTGTGTTTGAACATGACATATTGACACACGAGATTACAACTTGTATTGGGTAGTCACTTAACCATACCTCATCTGAATCCTCCCTCTCATCCTTGGTGACAATGCCCAGCTGGGGTTTAGTCTTAAATTTAGAAACCACTGGGTGGAGTCACTACTATTAATGATATCCTTCGCTGGCTGCTTCAGCCAAGAGGGAAGGAAATCGTAGGTGATGGAGGAAGACATTTGATCTCCCTCAGAGATATCACCATGGCACTGAGATAGAGAAGCTAGTTTTCAACCTGCTCTAGGAGCTGGAAATAAAGATTTGACTCTTTAGTGTCCAGTTCTTCAGGAAGAAACCCTCTTCCTTGTATCCTGCCTGATACGATGATATATTAGGGGATGAATGTGAAATCATTCAATTCAGGCTGATATTTACTTTTGTGAAACTCTTCCCCGACTCAGGATTAAGGTATGCAGGATCATTTTATATTTATTTAAAAATAGTCCAGTCATCATGCAAGAAAAAATGACTGGTTTTTCCTTTTTTTTTTTGGCAAGACACATTTGTTTCTTTGTGATATATTTCCAAAAAATCACACTTACCCAGTTTCTTAGCAAGTTTGGCTTCTTTCTTGGCATCCACCAACACAAAGCCTATATCTTTATGTTCCAGAACCTGGGCCACAAGCTGAAGGGAAAGACAAGGGTAGAAGAGTGAGTGAGTCAAGGGCAGGAAGATGGTAGCAAATACCAGGGATGTTATTTTGGCATGTTGACAAGAGGACCTTCCTCCATACTTCCTGTTACCCTGTGACCAATTCAAGCAGCAGTGTTGGGATTCTATGCTTATCCCCTCAAGAGAAGGATGATTCAGCAGAATTCTGAGAACCAAAGAGAGAAAATGTGAGGACCAGACTAAAGTATAAGATCTGAAAGACTCCATCCATTGTCACACACCCTACTCTGTCCTCAGGGTAGGTAAAATTTGAATTGGGAGAGAGAAGAATCAGAAAGGAAGCAAAGAGTACTCAGATACCCACAGATAGCTAACAAGGGGCCTGGAGCCCATCCTCAGCCACCAAACGAACCTGGAGTCTGATGAGGATGGACACAAGGGATGCTAGAGAGGCTGAGGGACCTTAGAATAAAGGAGACCTGTGTTCCCAAGACCCAAGCAGACACCTCAAGTCCCTTCATCCACTGGACTTGAGGAGTAGGAATGTCTGTTGGGTGTACCTGGTAAAAAGACCCGAGATGGACTCTGAAGTTTTCCTGCAGCCAATTGAGAGGAAGAACTAGTGGAGAACCTGGAGTGGAACCATAGCCCCAAAGGTGAGGAGGATGCAGCAGGGTCAGGTGGACAGATGGCTGAAAGCTACTCTGGGTGGACATCAGCATAGACGCTGACACCAAGCACAAGGTTGACATTGTGTTAAGCTCCTTGAAACTTAGAATATAAGGAAGTAAGGTGACCCTCAACTGCTTGAGATCTAATTCCCGCCATATGGCTGAACTGAGGCTTAAAACAGAAATAGAGTGGAGAAGCTACCAGAGAGATCATGAAATATTTATATTGCCTTTCTCTAGTTAAAGTTTTTAAAAAAGATGATTGTAGATTAACATGTGGTTGTAAGTGATTCCTTGTACATTTTACCCAGATGTTACCCAAAGTAACATCTTGCAAAACTATAACACAGTACCACAAACTGGATATTGGCATTGCTATAGTAAAGATACAGAACATTTCCATAACCACAAGGACCCCTCATGTTGTCCTTTTAGAGTCACATCCACTTCTTCCACCCTCATCCCTGCCCCAGCCCTTGGCAATCACTAATCTGTTCTTCATTTCTATTATCTTTTCATTTCAAGACTGTTGTGTAAGTTGAATCATATAGTATGTAACCTTTGGGGGTTGGCTTTTTTCACTCATCATATTTCTCTGGAGATCCATCCAGGTTCTTGTGTGTATCAGTAGGTCATTCTTTTGTATTACTGAGTAGTATTTCCACGGTATGGAGGTACCACAGCTTCATCCATTGAAGGACATCTGGGCTGTTTCAAGTTTTGGGCTATTATGAATAAAGGCACTATAAACATTTGTGTACAGGTTTTTGTGTGAAGATTAGTCTTAATTTCTTTAGGATAAATGCTCAGAAGTGCAATTGCTGGGTTCTATGGTAATTGCATGTTTAATTTTTAAAGAAACAGCTGGTTGTTTTCCTGAGTGGATGTACCACTTTGCTTTCCCACCGGCAGTGTAATGGTGAGTGATCTAGTTCTTCCACATCTTTGCCAGTATTCGGTGTTGCCACTATTTTTCATTTTAGTCATTCTAATAGATGTGTGGTGCTATCTCACTACAGTTTTAATGCATTTCCCTAATGGCTAATGATGCTGAACATTTTTTTGTGTACTCATTTACCATGTGTAAGTTCTCTTCCATGTCTTTTGTATTTTCCAAATGGATTGTTTTTTGATTGTTGAGTTTTGAGAGCTCTTTAAACATTAGTCCTTTGTTGGATATGTGGTTTACAACTATTTTCTCCCACCCTGTAGCTTATCTCTTCATCCTTCTAATAGGTTCTTTCACAGAACACAAAAGTTTTTAATTTTGATGAAGTCATATAAAACCATTTTTCCATTTATGGATTGTGCTTTTGGTGTTAAGTCTAAGAACACTTTGCCTAACCTTGTATCCTGAAATTTTCTTCTAATTTTTTTCCTAAAAGTTTTATTGTTTTAATTTTACATTTAAGTTAATAATCTACTTTGAGGGTTGTAGGTTTTTTTGTTTTGTTTTGGGTTTTTGGGGTAGTTTTTTGAGTCTACTTTATTTATTTTTTTAACTTTTTTTATCGAGTTATAGTCATATTACAATGTTGTGTCAAATTCCAGTGTAGAGCACAATTTTTCAGTTATACATGAACATACATATATTCATTGTCACATTTTTTTCTCTGCGAACTACCACAAGATCTTGTATATATTTCCCTGTGCTATACAGTATAATCTTGTTTATCTATTCTGCATATGCCTGTCAGTATTTACAAATTTTGAACTCCCAGTCTGTCCCTTCCCACCTCCTATTTTGTTTTTTAACCAAAGGTTGTCCAACTGTTCCAGCACCATTTATTGAAAGGTCCATCTCTCCTCCACTGAGTTGATTTTACATCTTTGTCAAAGATCAGTTGACATTATTATGTGGGTCTGTTTCTGCTTTCTCGATTCTGTCCCTCTATCAGTACCACACAGTCTTGATTATAATAGCTATATCATCAATCCTGATGGTAGGTAGACTACTTCTTCCCACACAATTCTTCTTTTTTGAAATTGCTTTAGCTAGTCTAGTTCCTTTTACTTCCATCTGAACTTGAGAATAATCTTGTCCATTATTACAGAAAGTTTTACTAGGATTTTGATAGAAATTTCACTGAATCTTTAAATGTATTTATCAACTGATGTATTTACTATGTTGTCTTCCAATTCATGAATATGGTATGTCTCTTCATTTATTTAATCTTCTTTGATTTCTTTCATTGGCATTGTGTTGTTTTTAGCACATAAGCCATGTGCAGGTTTTGTTAGATTTATACCTAAGTATTTAAATTGTTTGAGTGATTACAAATAGTATTGCATTTTATATTTTGGTGCGCATCTGTTTATTGTCTATATATATATGTAATTGCTTTTTGTATGTTTATCTTGTATCTTGCAGCCCTGCTGAACTGTTATTAATTCTGAGAGGTTTTTGTTTTTTGTAGGTTCCTTGAGATTTCCTATGTAGACAATCATGTCATCTGCAAATACAGACAGTTCATTTCTTCCTTTCCAATTTGTATGCCATTTATTTCCTTGTGTTTCCTTATTGTGCTGACAAGAAATTCCAGCACTGTATTGAAAAAGAGTGGTAAGAATGAGTATCTATGCCTGTTCTTTATTTTAGGAATTTATCTATTTTTCCTTTCAATTCTATCAGTTTTTGCTTCACATATTTTGCAGTTCTGTTCTTTGGTGCATATAGATTTAGGATTTCTTGTTTTCTTGGTGGATTGACAGTGGATTTATTTGGCTTTATACCTTATGCTATAAATCCCTCTATTTTCTCTTCTATGTTTTCTTTTCTCATTTCTTTCTTTATTCCAGTGTCTTCCTTCATGTGTCCCAGCATCTGTGGCTTCTCTCTTGGATTTTCACTCCTGCTGTTGCTTCTCTGAGGGTTTTCTTTGCCTATTCATTCTTCCCTTCTTGACTTTCTTATATGCTCCCCACTCTCCTTCTTCCTCTTTTCTTCTAATCACTCCTGTCCCTCTAAGGCTAAGGATTGGGCAGAAGCAGAGAGAGCTGCTCTGTGGAGTGCCTTTGGTAACTAGGGGTGGCGGGGCAGATAACAAATGACACACCCACCCCTCACCCCTCAGGCAGTTTTTTCTTCTCTCTTGGATTTTGGCTGAGACTAGGGCAGACTCAGGATGAAAGATATCATCATCAGTGTTTAGGTTATGATTCATCTCGAGTGTCCCTGTAATGCTTATACGGGCCTGTCTTTCTACAGTCACTTGGCTTTCATTTACTGAATTCAGTTTATTAGACAAGGTCATTTTTGAGTGTTTTCTGGTTTTCAGGGTAAGCCACTGTGTCCTATTTAGTGCTATCAAAACGTTAACTTAAATGCTCCCTTTCTGTCACTAAAAATTAATGATGATGAGACCTGATGGCTTTGTGATATTAGTAAGTTTCCCTACTCCTGCAGCATGAGCCTCTAAGCACGGTTCTTAAACTTCAGTGTGCATAAGACTCACCTGGAACACTGGTTAAAATGGGACCGCCCAGACCTCAGCACCGGAAAGCAGAGAACAGAGCTGGGGTGGAGCTCAGGAATGCACATTTTCATAAACCACGCTACCACACCCTGTGATTCTGACGCAGTAGATCCTGTACCACACTCTGGAAAACTGCTATAAATGCTTGTCAGTTCATCCAGAAGTGATGTGGCAAAATGTTTTCCAACTGTGACCTGTGGGCCCATGTTCAGCCCTGTTGGCCCCCCTACCTTACATGTAGGAGAGAAATATTAAGAAAAATAATAATAACAGTAAGAATATTAGAGATTAACTCTCAGAATTAAACAGAGAATTTAACTCTGACCTCTCCTGCGCTTCACCACCACATTTTATGGGTTTTTAGATAAACACAAATGTGTGCTTCTCGTAGGCTTGTAAAGCATCACCTTCTTGTTACCTTATTGATATTTCTATGTGACATTTGAAGATACTTGAGTGGAAGGTGCTATCTCAGACAAACTCAGCTGTTTTTCTGGTTTTCTGTTTAAGCACAGCCATTGCTGTTCTCGACACGGATGGAGAGACAGAACTGGCAGTCACTGATGGGCCCGGAACTGGTGCTAGCTGAGACCTGCCCACCTCCTCCTTGGCATCCTTACACACAATCCCTGCAGCATCACTCTCGCCTCCCACCCTGATTAGGCCCAAAGCCGGCCCACTTGAGCTCTGTCATCACTTCCATCTGCCCTAGCAAGCACCCTTCTTGAGCCTAAGCCAAGGGTGGCCAGGACTGGCAGCCACCCAAGAGGGAGCAGTGAGACTGGGTTGGCAGAGAAGGGCTGCAGTAAAAGACCAGGGCTTCTGGGCTGCCTCCTAACCCGACCCGTTCCCCCCAGGACCAGGA